CGGAAAATAATTCAAAGTCGAATGAAGTAATTCTTGGGAAACTTTGCTCTTGGCTGGTACTCCTTTGTTTTCATCGCTCTTTTGTTCGTTGCCGCCAAACTCCGTGGAAAAAGGAGTCCCTTTCGCCTCGTAAATAGAGTTCACGTGAAAGTTCATTTAAATTGGACGAGGATCATTCTAGCGGGTTTCCCGCGGAAGCACGCAGAACCGCGCGGAACACATCGGTCGACCAGCATTGCAGCTACGCTACGGCCAATTCTGACCGCAGCCTGGATCCGCCATAGTTCAGGTTTTGGGGCTCGGCCCAGATACGATGCCGGATCCATGGAGATAATTGATGCAGCCACGTTGGATCTGGCTGGAACCAGCGACAATCGGCTCGTTTATCGATTGGTTTCCTTCGTGGTCAAGGACCGTGGCTAATCGACTGCCGTTCGATTTTGTAAGAGCGCCGCCTCTCCGTTCGTTCGTGTTTATCTAACGTTCACGCTTTGCTTATCCGAAAGCCGATAGGCTTTTCGATCTCATTGTTTCTTCGCCAGCGATTAACGAACCTTCGTTATCGCATCGTTATTAAACGCGTTTCGAACGACTTGAATATATCCAATGGTTATTTTCCTTAATCCAATAGAAGCTCGTAACTCGGTTGAAAGGTTCCATACTTTGTTCGTATCTGGCGATAAATAATACGCGGGTTTTCTTTCAGCCACCGTTTCGCGTTAGCGTAGAAAATTGAAATTTATGGGTATCGAGCGTATAAACAATCCACGAAGTTCATCGGTCGACGAAAATTACGGTTTCGTTAAATATGGCGGGTGCCCTGAGACTTTTTGAACGATGCCGTACAGTATCGCGAATAAACCATCGATAACGACGATCGGTGTGCATAGCCGTTCCGCGAATCGAAACAATGCCGCGACATTTGCATACCATTTGCATGATTTATAACGCGAGAGATAATTATCTTGGTAGCCAGGCGCCGTAAATATCGCCGTTCACGCGCATTACAGCGCCCACCCTCGCCTTCTCGTTTTACCATAACCATCCTGTTATTTATTTACAATATCACCTACCGAACGGTTGTCGCAATAATTCTGTCGCCTACGAATTTATAGCTCGTTTTTCTCTTTCCAACCAACCGTGCTCCCGTTCGCGGCTGTCGAAACAACGTTCCAGTTAAACTGGAACGATCATAATTCCTAACTGATCGTTCATTTTTGCCGACCGATCGGTCGCGCGTGGATTTCGACGTTAAATAGCAACGCGAACGATCGATGGAGAACTACCGCTCGAACGTAGGATTCCTAGCTGAAATCGTATCATTCGATGGCAAATAAAATCCGCAACGAATAGGATTGCTCTCCTTCGAGCCACGAATCCGTTCGAAAGCTAGCAAGACTATGACTGCACCGTGAAATAGGGAGATTTTCCTGAGGAAACGTCAGATTTGCCGGTGACAAATACCGTTCGAGATAGTAATGCGATCTACGATATTTCCCGCGGCTTCTTCTTCATTCGCCGTTTTATCGCGTCATCTTTCTTTCGCGCGATAACAGACGATGTACCTTCGAAGAAACGTTGCTCGATCGAGATAAAAAGACTTGTATCGGATGCTGCAAAAACGAATCAAATTTATTATCCGCTCGTCTTTTATTTCCTATTCTTTCGAGGGAATTTAATTTTTACTCTTAAAATATGGGACAAAGTATTTCAGTAGTCTCTCTATTTTGCATACTTTCGTATCGGATAGTTTTGTTCCCATTGTTTCTGACCGTCGTTCACAGTATCCGTTATGGAAAACGAAAAGCGGAGCAGAACGAAATCGACAACGCTATCGAGAAGCGGAAATCCGAGGAGAAGCATTTATTCGGGTCAACCGAAACTAATTGCCATTCGATTCGTCCACTCTTGGAGCTTCGCGAAAGTTTCCTGACCGCATTCCCCGCTAAAATCCCGTGTCGCACCCTCGAGCAAACCGCTGGTTTCCGGACCTCTCGGAACTTCCGACTTCTCCTCCCTCGTGACTGCTCCACAACCCTGATAGACAACTCGCGATAATTGCTCGCTCGACGATTACGCCCGTTTATCCTTCGCGAATACGGTAATAGCGGCTTGTTTTCCAGCTATCGATCTATTTTCGCAAACTGTGAGCTTGTGTAATCTTCGCATAATTGCCATCGATCTTCTGGAATACGCGTTTAACGCTACTAATTCAAACTCCTATCTATTCTGTAACGGCAACGATTCGTAGGATACTCGTCAACTCGTGCGACGTACGTGGGATTTTACTCGACCCGATCCAGAGCTTTCAGAGTGTTTTCTGACCGACCGGTAAACTATTCGCAAGGATAGAGAAGCACTCTCGGATCTCGCGTGGGATTTTCGTTAAACTACCGTAACCGACATCCGTCGAAATAAACCAATGTTCGGTCTCTGAAATTACCTACTTACCTCTCGTTACCGTAAAGTACATCATCCCGAGGCTAAGCTTAATAACATTTCCGATAAACCGGCGAACTCAAAGTTCCTAGCTCGAACATCGTAGTTGCTCGTCGTGATTCCTCGGAATCACAAAAGAGTCCGAAGGACGGACGGGCAATTGCCATTTTCCCTTGGCAAAAACGACCGAGGCCATTTAAAAGTTACATCAAGAAACGTGGTTGCGAAGAAGGATCGAGCCGGAGACGATTCCTCGGTCAATGTACATAATGGAAGACATCGAAAGAACAAACGAGCCAGCGGAGAAAAGACAGAGGGACTAGTGGCATCGGAACGGTAACGGAGAGCCGGAGAAAGGGAGATAGAAAAGCCACGAAGCTGGAGGATGGATTGATTATGTCCAAGTGAGTTAAGGTTGGCCCGAAGAAAGATTCGAGGTCGTGGCTTCTCCGAGGTTGACGAAGGTCCCCGTTTCCCATTACGGATTCCTCGCGATACGGTTGCTACCCACACCCTCTTTCCCTCTCTTTCTCCCGTTTACGGGGAACTTTCCCTTAATGACGCAAGTTTTATTGCGAGCCATCGTTCACGCTGGCAGCTAGCCGACGAGTCAGCCGGTGACGCGTCGACCAAAGTCTCCGCTCGCGGTCGCTTCTCTTCAATTCTCGCTTCGAACCGGCTAACTTGTAATTCTAACTCGAATAAGCGTGATTAAATGCTCCGTTCGCGAACCGCCATTTGTCGCCGTTGCATAACTTATGCCGTGAAAACGACACTTTCGTTTCTCTTCTCTCGCGAAAAAGTTCAAGTATTCTTACGAGTAAATAATAACGTACTCCATATTTGTAAAGTTGACAGAAAAGAGAAATCGTAAATAAGCGAATAGACCGTGCAAAAATACTTGACTGTATTTTCAGCGAGTTTTTCGTTGTATTTTCTACTCGTTGGTCCGTTCGGTTTATAAACGAGAGTTAGCAATTCCCGGTTCGTGCACAGAGGGACGATTCAAAAGTGGATTGCAGGAAACAAGTCGATGGCAAGCAGTGCGGACGATTAACGGCATGCTGATTCGATTAAACGCGTCGATTTGGTTTGCTAGCAATTCGATTGGCGGCTGCTAGCTGCCGATTATCAGCCGACCAGTTGGCAAAGTTGACCGCGAACGATATAATTGACTGGCAATGGAATGCCGTGTGTCGTTGAGTTTTCGAGGGTTCGATGGCCCTTGGCGATACTCTAATCGAGCCGAATCAATTCTCTGGCTTCGGTGGTTCGCTTTAATCGACGAGATCCAACAATTTCCATGCCACCGTGGAATTCTCCACCGGTACGTTAAAGTCCGTGCAATTTTAATGGAATATATTGTCTGGTGTAATCGAAAATATCTGGAGGCGAGTCGTGTCTACGAAGTTTACGAGCCCTTCGAGGGCTGTAAACGCGTATTCCTACTCCTACCGACGGATATATCCGTTCCCATCACTTACCGGGAGATGTACATGCCCGATACGGCCTAATGTCGCGTATACCGCTAACCTATTGGCCAGATATATACGTTCTACGATACACGTACTTCGCTAGGTAACACGTGGCAAGGAATTTAGTTACGTGGAAATGAAAAACCTTTCGGGTCGACGATGTTTCGGATAATTGATGGTGACTTTTTCGGTAGTTACTTTATGGGGACAGCAAAGTCTCGCGACAATTTATAAATAATCCCAAAAGCAATCGGCGTCAAAGCTCGGAGAATGACGGAGATAAATCAGACGCGAATGTTTTTCACGAGTGACGAAAATATACGTGTCACAAAGTCGTAAATAACAAAAGTGACAAGCTTTTTATATCATTTCGTTGACACGGTTACGTGAACAGCATCGAAGGGTCAGTATTACAGAAGATTCTATTTCGAGTATTATCGGTAGCTCGAACGGGCGTTAAGGAAAGATTCTTTTAACTCGGGTCGATAGGATAAAAATACGTGGCAATAGCGTTGGCGAAAGTAAATAATTCTTTCTTTTTTCCCTTAGCCGACGAACCAAATCCTCGGCGCCAGGATAACGATGCTTCGTCATTTGATCTAATGCTTTCTTCCTTCCTTTCATCCTCCAGTCTGACTAGCGCCAACGATCAATCTTAATTCGCGAGCTAAATTACTGCCCGAAAGACTGATGTTTCTTATCGAAAAAAATATATTAAGACCCGATGAAACGCTGGCTTTTCTCTAGCGACCGGTATCGCCTCTGCGACGATGAAACAACAGCGTCGCGACCACGGTTACCTCATTTTTCCCGCGAGAAGTATATTTTGATAATAGCGACATAATTTTGCTTGTGCACCAGAATTTAAGGTACACGGAAAAGCTTCTACGAAGTTCGCGAAGCAACGAATAATTATACCGTGAACATTACGATAGTTCGCTCCTAGTTTCTCTCAGATCCGTACACGTTAAGTTTGTCCAGCTGTTTCAGGATAATCCGTGTACGTCGAAGCGAACGATTTTAAAAGCGATAACGACACGACGTTTCGAAAGAAAAATCGAAGCTTTTATCCGAGACGTTCCTTACCTTTAACAGCGTTCAGCTTGTTTCCAACCATCTGCTTCGCGACGAAAGCTGCCATCTTGGTGCTTGCTGTTTATCACGCGGCGATGGAAACTGCTGGACCTGCAACGAACGATATTGTTAGCATCGATCGAAAAATATCGAGTTATTTTTTAGAGGTTTTCGAGAAAATCCGTTCGCGTCTTCTGGTACTTGTTCGATTCTATAACTCCCAGGCGAAAACTCTCCCAAATTATCCTCGTTCGCACGAGTTCGAACAATCAGTTATTCCCCCAAAAGTATACGTTAAGCTTGGAAAACATAAATGGCCGACTGATACGCATTAATTCGTCCAAGTAGAACAGCGAAGTAAGCAGAAAGTGTTCGTCGTAAAAATTTCCATGCCCTCTTTCGAATCCACGCGAGCCACGGTATCGTGGCCTGGCCTTTTATGTATGTCCTGAAATCTCTTCGTCCAAAGAAATAACCATTTCGGGTAATAACATTATATGGTTTTCGGCTCGTAAATTCCCTTTTACGACCTCGTGAAAACTAATACCGCGTTCGATCCGATTTCAAGCTATTCCAAAGTGGCCTACTGCAACGTTTCCTCGTGCGTGTATTACACATCGACAAAACACACGCGAGAATTCGTCGCTGTTTATTCGAGCAAATGAAGGGTGTGCCATGAATTTCGTAAAAACGACTGCGCGATACACGCTTCGACCTAATAAAAAATTTGTACCGCGCAATACCGACCGAACTACGCCGTCGAGGATTTAACCGGGAAATAGCTTTATACGGATTTATTTGCACAATTTATCGCGGATTATTTGCTATTGGTAACGTCGAATATCGCTAGCTTCGTGTCTTGGTATCGTCGAGCATCGGTAATCGATGTTATCGAAATATACGCGAGAAGAAAGTTCCGCCAGCAAATTTTTGGAAAACGGGGAAACTCGGAAAATTCCTTTCTTCCTGCGTTGTCTTTCAATCCCGCATTACCGGCGAAAATAAATGTCCTGCGAAACTTTCTAACGGTATCTCCCTTTCGTCCCAAACTTTTCTTTCTCCGGTACCGGTGTGTTGCTACCTTTTGCCCGGAATAAAAGCACCGTGGGCTAATAATTTAAGCGCTTCAAAGTCGGACGATCATTTCGAGTAATCGTTGTCGTGGGGTGAGCCATTGCCTAAAATATTACCGCGGGCCTGTGCCAGTAGGTTTTTTTTCTTCGATGCTCGTTTTTCTTCTGGTCCTCCTTCCTTTTTGCGAGCGTCGTTTTGGCATGAAAATGAAATACGCATCTCGGGGGACATCCTCGATCCGAGCACGATGAAAAGCATTTTAATCTAGCGACGCAGATGGCCATAGCAAGGGACGGAAAGGGAACGTGTTTCGGTGGCGGGGCAAAAATGCCAAAGAGGGGTAGCACGCGTTACGTCGACGAAGATGATGCTCATCGACGCGGAAACCGCCGCGTCAGCGCGATGAATAATTTAACAAGGAGCTGTAGGTCACCGAGGCCTCGTGCACTTTCGTTGGCCTTGCCAGGGGACTACCGGATGTCAAGAAGCTTACACCAAAGAGGATAGAACGACTCGCGTTGCCTATCGGTTAATATATTGCGAACACGTCGAGTTTCGTTTGTACAAGCTGGAAGATGTTCGCACCTGAAGCCTTCGCGTGACCCACTTTTCCAAACGCCGTTCGATCGTTGCGTTTTGGATTTACGTTCGAGATATGTTATTCGAAGATGGAACGACAAGTGTTTTACATTCGAGTGACGAACAATAGACCGCCGTTGAATTCGGTGATATCGAGTTTTTTTATATTTACGTGACCCAGAACCTATCAATTGTCTTCTTCGATATTCGGAAGGTTATCGAAAAAAAATTTAAGTAGGTATAATTAAATACTGATCGCGAAAGTTGAAGACATTAATGTTCGTTTAAAGCTTTCGAGCGCTCGTTCTTTCAACAAGAAAGGCTGAACGCGATACCTCGTTAAAAAAAGGGTACTCTCAAAGAAAATCTTCTTTGCCCCGATTCCAGCAAGCATCCTCTCCTTCCGTTTGTTTTGCCTCGACTTTCCAGCCTGCAAGCTCGTTTTACTCGACTCTGGATAGAGTTTCCACCGCGACGACTCAACTGCAATTCGATGCTCCATCGTTCGCTTGTCAGCGTAATTGCGAGCGTCCTGACTCTCTTCTCCAAAAGGATTCGCGGTTCGAGCAAACACGGCAAGTTTGTCGCGAAAATATGTTCGAATTTTCGGTGCAGCCGCTCGAAAAGTCTCCAAAGCCCCTCTCTTATATAACTCCTGATCGCGTCGAGAAAGAGGTTAGTCGGCGAGGGTTTAATCGTCGGCTAAAGTAAACGAAAGCATGGATGCACGAGCTTTCGTTAGAGATAAACGGTCGAAAGTTTAACCGATCCTTTAGCTTTAAGGTAATCGGCGTTTCGTCGTCGATTTAAAGGGAAATAGTTTCGCGCAGTGTCGACGTCATAATAGCGAGCTAGCAAATCGAGAGCACGAACCGAGCTAACGCGATCGCGTTTCGAATAATTCTCATTGCAGAGTGTCTGACTACGCGTGACCGTTTCCACTGTGGTATGCGACAATAGCATACCGACCGTTCATCCCGCCATCGTGCACGTCAAAACATCTCTATCGGATCGGAAAAACGCATTGTTCGAATATTTAATGAAATACGCGAACCGAGCGCGAAGTCGTTTAGCCTCGGTAACGCCCTAAAAGCTCCACCGAACAACTCTCTGCCGGTAGCTGCGAATTCCGTCGATGCCAGGAAAAAAACACGCGATATTCTCGTCGAGCTTCGTTTCGTTCATTGTCGTCGGGATAAAGTTGTCTCGCGTTGTTGGAAAATCACGGCGTACGAGAGGCGCCTCGGCGCCGAGACGTCTCGA